CGCAACTTTTAATAAATATAAACAACACGTTCTACTTAATTAAATAGATTTTTTAAAATAAATGTTTTCTCCGACAACATCAGAGTGCAGCGCCACATCAAATACGCACTACAATGACAATAGTTTAAAGCGATTTGAAGCATTTTTTTGGGGGGGAGGGGACAGAGCTTTGTGACGTCATATTTGAGGGGGGGGGGGTCTGACTTTTTGTGACGCCGTGTGACGAGGGGGAGGGGGTAAAAAATCGTCCAAAATCGCGTGACGTCATATATGGACGGCCCCTATGAACACGATCTCCATTACCAGTGATGGCGAGTAATTCACCTCCGCAAACAGACATTGCATCCCACACGGCACACGAGGGGTTGGGTGGCCAGCAACCACGCTCGGCCGCCTTTGTCTCCCAAGTGGCGATGTTTACACACCGCACCAGCTACTCATTTGAGGCTGAGTCGACCTAGGGGAGGCTCAGGACCGGGTCCGGTATTCGTCACCGACGTTGGCCGTGAGCGGGCATCGAACGCCGGTCGCCGTGTTCGTAGCGCAGCGCGCTAGCCATTGTCCCACCGCTCACACACACACACACACACGCGCGCGTTCTCTCACACACGCAAAATCGACGTCAACTAAAAAAAAGCATCAATCACGCAAAAAATTAAATATGGCCTCGCGCGGCTGAGTGTGTGTTTTGTGTAAGAGAGGACATCATCTTTCCCGTAGTTTAATCAGCCTAATGCATGCGTCTCTCTTCCCCCATGCATCACCACCACCACCGCCACCGCCGGCACGCGCTCCCCGCGTTGGCTGCCGCCGCGTGCTACGATTGACGTCTCGAACTCCTTCCGAACGCCGCGCCTTCATCATCACAACCACGAGTCGTGCTCAATCCACTGCTGGATGGATGAAAAGTCTTTTATGACCCCGCGACGATCACAACAATCCGATCGGCGATCGGCTCGGTTCGCGGTTTGTCACACGCGGTTTTTTTTTTCTTCCCACGAGTGTGGATCGGCTGCACACATTGACACGCACATCATAGGTGTACCATATTATAATGGTATTAGATGGTGATGATGATGCTGCTGCTGCTGCTGTCACAGTGTGGATCCACATTCATGACATATTTCAAACGACAGCACAGAGAGCGGACGGCGGTGGTCCACGGAAGGTAGCGTGTATCGGAGTTTTGACAAAAAATTAGATAGGTCATTATCAACAATCATCATCATCGGATGGGATCAATTCACTGCTGAATGGACGAAAAGCTCTTCAAGAATCCGCCGCGACAAGTTTGTCACGATCCCTGCACAGGAGCGCGATTTCATCGCTCCATCGCATCGCTCCATCTCATCGCTCCAGCATCTCATCGATGAAGAGGAGAACGCTCGAAAGCGTCGTTCCATCCCGTGGCTGCCACTGTTATTATTATTGACCATCAGCCATCAGCTCCATCAATAGCCATGATGTGCCCTGGTCCGACCATTGCCCCCCACTTAATATTATTAACGCTTTGAATTATGCCATTAACCTGCGTACGTTCTCTGATACGCGTGTTCCTCTCTCTCTCTGACTCTCTCAGTGGAATTCCCAGGCGTGCAGCAACCCACGCGTCTTGCCACGCACACTTCAGCGTGTGTTGCTCTACATTTGTAGTTATTGGCCCATTCAAAATGAAGACTGATATCTCAGTGTGTGTGAGTGTGTGTGCAGTCATCTCAGTCAGTCGACCCATGGCATTTGGGTCTGTCCCGTAACCTCCCGCCAGCGGCAGTTCGACACTTCCCGTGGCCTTAACGTGCACATAGCCTGGCACAAGCGCCGTGGTGACGTCACCGCCACTTAGTGGCGAATGGCGATTGCTGTTGTTGTTTGCACGTGTTCCACGTGACTTACACAGCGTCAATTGCTGACGTGTTTAACAATCATTGGGCGGGCGCAGCGTGGAATGAGTGAATTGGATGGGGAGGAGTAAATTTGTAAACGTGGAAAAAAATGTGGCGTGATGGTGGGGGCGGGGGAGGACACGAGTTGGAAAAACCCTGCAGGAGTGATTATGGGGCACCGCGGTGTCGAGATGTCATCACCCTCGCCTGGTACGCAGGAGGTCGTGCGTTCGGTCCCGGCCCTGACGCCTGCTGCTGTATATTTGGAGTTTGCATGTTCTCGCCGCGGGCGCCTGGATTTTTCCCCCGGGGTTTTCCTCCACAAATAGAATCGGAGATCGGTGGAGGGAATATTTTTTTCGAAAACGCTAATATTACCCTGAATATTATATTCGTATTTTACCAGGTAAGGCCTTATAGCTCTTTTTCAAAAGCGACCTGGACACAAATGATAGCTCAACGAAGTGGCTTATCATTTGGATATTTATAGCAGCAGCCAAATACTCTAAACGCAAGTTTATAAATGCGGAGCGGGAGAAAAATCCACGCGACCACCGTCAGGGTCTGGATCGAACCCACGACCTCCTGTATACTTGGCGAGGGAGTTAACATCTCGCCAGAATAATCGCCTCATTGTGGATCCCGCCGCCACGCAGCCATCAAAAAGCGCACTGCTCCATCAGCATCGGGACTGGCCGGGGTCTGTGCAATCAGTCGCCTTCTCCGCAAACGGTAAATAAAAGAATCAACAAATCAGCCAAACAATCAGGACGCTCACTGCTCCGCAAGCAGCAGGCTCCCTTACATCCCATCCGCACTGGGCAGGGCAGGGTGGGGGCGGGGTTGTCCAAACCATTCATCACCTTTCGGAGGTCGATAAAATAGGTACGACTGAGAATAGGTTTTCCCCATTTTTCTGGCAACAAACAGGTGTTTAGATGTTAAAACACCAAAATGAAACCTTTTACAAGGAATCATGTCTGCATTAACCACAATACTTGTGTTCAGAATGCAAAAAAAAACACATACTCTGACAATATGATGCATTGTCTTTTAAACGGATTGGTCCACACCAGAGACAGCTTTCTTTGGAGCCTCGTCTCAAAAGGTGTTAGACCAGAGGACACCAAAAGGCGACTAAAGAAAGTTGTCTCTAATGTGGACCAATCAGTTTCAAAGACAATGCATTTATTATCAGAGTATGTTTTTTTTTGCATTCTGACCACAAGCATTGTGGTTAATGCAGACATGATTCCTTGTAAAAGGTTTCAGTTTGGTGTTTTAACATCTCAACACCTGTTTTGGCAAAGGAGGCCCCGTGATGGGTACGACTTGATACAATTCTCACCACCCCCAAAGAAAAAAACGAAGCTACTTGAAGCGAACTTCAGCAGCATGCCACTCGAAGGGGGCGAATGAATCGACGTGATTTTTTTCTTCTCTCCCGGATTGCGGAAACCACCGCTCGTCACGCTGCGCGCCGCCGTCCCCCGATTCGTTGAAACGCGTTTCGTGGTCCCGCTTTTCGGAGCCCCCGAATCAACCCGGTTCGGTATTGATCGCGAAAGCTTTAGGTGTTAAACACTTTGGGCAAGTTCACGGTTTGAGCGGCAACTCCCACGAACGTCAGGGCCACCATCAGCCGCGGTCGAGATGACGGCCGCACGTGCCCGGTGGGAGATAAGCGATGAGTCGTGTGCCTTGCCGTGATTTAGCCGTCCCGTTCCGAGGACCCACGTCTTAAACGGAGGCGCCCTTTGCATGTTTCATACCTGGCGGTTGGTTCAATCAAGCCTGACCCCGCTGATGAGACCAGTGCTTGTCGAAACGCGCTTCAGAGTTTCGGGTGGGTGGGTGGGTGTGTGTGTGGGTGGGGAGGGGGCTGAGTGAATCGACGCTGGCGCAATTATTCACTCGCAGAAGGCAGGTGGGAGGCCGCTGGGTTGTGTGACGAATGCTCTTCGGTGTACACGTGGAGGGACGGATACAGGCAGGGCCGTCCATAGCGGGGTGCGGGGCACAGGGGGAAATCCAACTGCGTGGGACTCCCGACGCCTTCAAACTAAACCAGAAGTTTTACATCTGACACCGCCACCTCGAAGCGCGCCCCCCCCCCGCGGGGCCCGGGGCGGTCGCCCCGAGTCGCCGTGCCCCCTAGTGACGGCTCTGCTCTGGACACACGAAGGAGGCGTACTACTATCGTCTTGCATTGTCTCATTGTGCAACGCCTTTCGGTCGACCGCCCGTTAAGCTCCGGCTTACTGCACCTTTGATTGCCGCTGTTGGAATTCGACAGTTATAATTATAATAATAATCGTCGTGATGATGATGATTAGGATGCCCTTCGTTTCCACGGGAAAGTCTCGCACCGAGGCTCCAGGCTCGTTCTAAGAAAGAGGGGGGGGGGGCTTGCTGCATCTGCGATGTTTGACCAAGGGCGTTCATGCCACCCGTGTATGTGATGAATGATCGTCGTCGTTAAACTTCTCGCGTAGACGCGCGCCCCCCCCCGCCCCCTTTTGTCAATCCACTGCTGGATGAGGGCCTCCCGACGCCGCTGCTGGATGCGTCGTTCGCACCGCGTTTTCCTCTTTTTGCTTCCCACCGCACCACCGCAGTGGAGGAAGACGGAGAAACCCCGGGTGGAAGATACGGGAGAAGATGGGAAACAGAAAGCACCACGTGTAAAACAAAGAGGAGACGTCGTCAGGGCCAAAGTTCACGAACTTAATTCCACTTCGCTGCCCTGCCCACTCTTGGCCGCCACCTCTCAACTCATGGCCGTGGGGGGTGGGGGATGGGGGGGGTTGGGGATTTTCATTTAAAAAAATATCGGTGTGAGCCACCAACCCCTTGCCTTCAAAAGAGTCCCGAAACGCACCCGTGCGCCACTTACAAAGTGGCCAGTTAATTTATTATTTATCTCGGCGTTATTTATTTATTTGTCCGTTGAAGGATGGGGGCGGGGTCCTAAGACCCCCCCCTACCACCCCCCCCCCCCCCCGAATGTTCCACGTCAATCAACCCCCACCTCTCATCTCCCTCTCTCTCTGTGGGGCTGGCAGAGGGGGAGAGGAGGATGGGGAGAGGGTGGAGAGAGGATGCAGGGGGTGGAGGTGTTGGTGGGGAGGGGGACCTGACGTGTATTTAAGAACTCGCGACTCCACGGCCACTCGATGTTCATCTGCCCGGCGTCAGGAGCGAGCGAGTGAGCGAGCGAGCGACAGACACAGTGGAGGAGAGAGAGCGCCTACAGAGACAGAGAGCGCGAGAGAGAACGGAAGCGAGGGAAAGCGACACAGAGAGTTGCGGCTGAAGATTTAGTGTGAGAAGTGACGAATTAGATATACTCGATACAGACCCACGTGCACACAAACGGTGAGTGTACGCTTTGGATGCACGCACACACACACACGCGTGCACTTAAGGCGCAAAAACACCCACAATTGTGCGCATGTACATATTGATATGAAAAGTTATGTAATGTTACCTCCTTCATGTATATGTCATGTCATTATCGTCGTCGTCATCATCATGATGTGTAATTGCTATTATTATCAAGCATCGTTTGTGTTTTGTAACGTGTTGTTGCCAGATTAGACGTGACGCCGACACGTCCTAAACACGTGGTCACTGACATCCGTGATGCGTAACACGGGGGTGAGGGGGGGTTCCCCCTCTTATGATTATTTTCAGTAAATTAATCGCAAAATTTAATTTTAAATGACAAACGCGTTAAATGTAATCACTCCCGTGGCATGATTTAACACAACAACAATAACAACAACAACAACAAAAAGGCAATTACAAAATCTGCATGTATAAATTAACGAGAATGATCACCACGATGTACAGCGCCCTTTGTCAATCCACTGGCGTTCGGGGGGTTCATCCCCGCGGGCTGGCCGCGGGTCGTAAGGGGAGCCGTTTCACCATACTTCACTACGATGGTCGCTGTGGATTGACGAACGGATAGGAGACACCTTGGAGCATAGCGCACAGTAAGACGCAACTGCGCACGTTGCTGTACTGCCCTGTGCTGCATCGAAAACATAGCCCCCCCCCCCCCCCCCCGCCGCGGAATGCTGTAACAACCAGGGTTCGTGCGCGTGCGTGCTGGGCGCTCATCCGTCCTAGCGTTTGCCAGGCTTAGTCCTGACTAGCTTCCGAGATTTTATGAGAATCCTGAAATATTCCAGGGCGAATATGCCGTCGATGCTCAATGCGCGTCAAGTTGAATAGCGTAAAGAGCATGGAGGGGAGACACAAGAGCCCTGAGTGGCCGTGATGGAGCCGAGGTTATTTATCTGCAGTTGGTCCCACACCATCATCATCAACATCACCATCAATAATCACCACCAACATCATCACCATCAGCATCACCAGCATCACGACCATCATCATCATAATCACGATCATTCTTATCATCAGCAGCATCCTCATCATCACCACCATCATCATCATCACCACCACCACCACCAATATCACCACCATCATCATCATCATCGATGTCCCAAGACTCTAGTCCTCCACCACCCGGAGTTCACGTCTCACGTCGCTCCATCGCCTGCACGAGCCAATCGAGGCGTCACGCCCGTGAGTGAGCCACGTGGAAGGCACTGGGAGCCACGGCTGACGAGCGTGGAGTTTCCCTCCACATTTCAATGGATTATTTAAAATATATATACACTTTGATCTTCAGATTTCACTGCAGTTTGTTTTTGATGTTTTCGTTTGCCGACGTGCGGAGGCTACTCATCATGGGTATGCGTATTTAGAGATAATAATGTGCGCTCTCCACTCAGAGTCCAGGCACCCGAGTTCGAACATCAATGGCGATAGCTAAATCGGTCCTGCGCCCCCCCCCCGACCCCCCCAAAATGGGAACTCGAACCCTAAATGAGCGCCCCGGTTGCGGTGTGAAAAACATCGGCACTGAGGAGACAAAGGCGGCCTGGCGAGGTCCTGGCCACACGATCCGCCCGCGTGCCGCGCCAGTCTTACTCGGGGCTTGCGCACAGAATTCGGCCGCAACGAGACGTGACAACTATGGAGGGACATTAGTCGTTGTATAAACATAACGAGAATCTTTATTTATACTGAAGGAATCCGATGTAAAGATCTCTTTCACAGGTGTTCAGTAGTTTCACAGATGCCCATACACACGCTAACATATGCGTATGTATGCAAGGGTGTGTATCCGTGTAACTGCGTTTGAACGTATATGGTCCACATTTGTTTCTTTGGCTACACCACGTCGTCGTTTTGTGTAATTTGTTGTGTCATTAACCCTCCACCACCGGATGACAGCTCGCCACGTTGGCGAGATGTTAACTCTCTCGCCTGATATACAGGAGGTCGTGGCTTCGATCCCGACCTTGAAGCCTGTATATTTGGAGTTTGCGTGTCTCTATCCCCATGACCGCGTGGATTTTTCCTCCGGGTCCTTCGATTTTCCCTTCCAAATTCAGAATCAACGTTGCGTTTAGATGATTTGGCTGCTGTACATTTCGACGTTATGATAAGCCATTTCGTTGAGCTATCATTTGTGGCCATGTGGCTTGTGCAGAAAAAAATAGCTATAGAGCTCAGTGGGCCTTACCTGGTAAAATAATAAAACACAATGTTTATAGTTTTAGTTTGCATAGTTTATGTATTTGCTCGTTTGTATTTACGCACGTGGGCAGGACCCGGCCCGATCATGAAGCTCGGGACGCTCCTCCTCTTCGCCGTGGCGGTGCTGCTCCCTCCTCGCTCGGCTATTTCCGTCATCAAGCAGCAGCAGCAGGACCAGCAGCAGCAGCGAGAGCACCATCGTCAGCAAGAGCAGCAGCAGCAGGGTCTGCCCTCTCCGTGGTCCCGAGCATCGCTGCACCCGCGTGCGGTGCAGCGACCTCCTCCTCTGTTAGAAACGCACGGAAGTGCCGTGCCCTGGGACAGCTTCTCGGCATCCGCGCGCCTCCTCCCCTCTCTCTGGCGAGTCGGCGACGCGGGCGGCGACTACGCCGAGGACGGTGGCGATTACGGAGGGCAGGGGAAGGAGGCGGAGGATGGGGGTATCGAAGAGGTGGGGGAAGAGGAGGAGGAGCGGCGGCTGCTGGAGAAACGCGGGGAGGTCCCCACGTCGCTGGACCTCACCTTCCACCTGATGCGGGAACTGCTGGACGCGGCGCGCGCCGAGAAGATGGTGATCCAGGCGCACAGCAACAGGAAGATCATGGACTCTGCGGGGAAGTGAATGATGATTTTGATGATGGTGGTGACACGTTGGGTGTCTAGGTGCGTGGGTGTCTATACGTGAGTGTCTTTGTGCAAGGGATACTTTTTTGGCCAACTAATGCCCGATTGTAGGCTTGTGCCGCGTACAACATATAATTATCAATAACACAGGGGACAGCTGCCACTAGGGGTCCCCTTGGCTTGGCTGCAGTCGGGAATTGGAATGCTTGAGATGGGACTGGCGCTTTGTGGTATGTTTGTGTGGGAGAGTGCGGTGGGTGCGTGTAGGTGTGTCTGTAGGAGTGTCTGTAGGAGTGTGTGCGTATGTAGGAGTGTGTATGTAGGAGTGTGCATGTAGGAGTGTGTCTGTAGGAGTGTCTGTAGGAGTGTGTATGTAGGAGTGTGTCTGTAGGAGTGTGTCTGTAGGAGTGTGTATGTAGGAGTGTGTCTGTAGGAGTGTGTGCGTATGCAGGAGTGTGTATGTAGGAGTGTGTATGTCGGAGTGTGTCTGTCGGAGTGTGTCTGTAGGAGTGTCTGTAGGAGTGTGTATGTAGGAGTGTGTCTGTAGGAGTGTGTATGTAGGAGTGTGTCTGTAGGAGTGTGTCTGCGTGTGCGTATGTAGGAGTGTGTATGTAGGAGTGTGTATGTAGGAGTGTGTATGTAGGAGTGTGTCTGTAGGAGTGTCTGTAGGAGTGTGTATGTAGGAGTGTGTCTGCAGGAGTGTGTCTGTAGGAGTGTGCATGTAGGAGTGTGTCTGTAGGAGTGTATATGTAGGAGTGTGTATGTAGGAGTGTGTCTGTAGGAGTGTGTATGTAGGAGTGTGTATGTAGGAGTGTGTCTGTAGGAGTGTGTATGTAGGAGTGTGTATGTAGGAGTGTGTATGTAGGAGTGTGTCTGTAGGAGTGTCTGTAGGAGTGTGTATGTAGGAGTGTGTATGTAGGAGTGTGTTTGTAGGAGTGTGTATGTAGGAGTGTGTATGTAGGAGTGTGTCTGTAGGAGTGTGTCTGTAGGAGTGTGTCTGTAGGAGTGTGTATGTAGGAGTGTGTCTGCGTGTGTGTATGTAGGAGTGTGTATGTAGGAGTGTGTCTGTAGGAGTGTGTATGTAGGAGTGTGTCTGTAGGAGTGTGTCTGTAGGAGTGTGTATGTAGGAGTGTGTCTGTAGGAGTGTGTCTGTAGGAATGTGTATGTAGGAGTGTCTGTAGGAGTGTGTATGTAGGAATGTGTATGTAGGAGTGTGTATGTAGGAGTGTGTCTGTAGGAGTGTCTGTAGGAGTGTGTCTGTAGGAGTGTGTCTGTAGGAATGTGTATGTAGGAGTGTGTCTGTAGGAGTGTGTATGTAGGAGTGTGTATGTAGGAGTGTGTATGTAGGAGTGTGTATGTAAGAGTGTGTATGTAGGAGTGTGTATGTAGGAGTGTGTCTGTAGGAGTGTGTATGTAGGAGTGTGTCTGCGTGTGTGTATGTAGGAGTGTGTATGTAGGAGTGTGTATGTAGGAGTGTGTCTGTAGGAGTGTGTATGTAGGAGTGTGTATGTAAGAGTGTGTATGTAGGAGTGTGTATGTAGGAGTGTGTATGTAGGAGTGTGTATGTAGGAGTGTGTCTGCGTGTGTGTATGTAGGAGTGTGTATGTAGGAGTGTGTATGTAGGAGTGTGTCTGTAGGAGTGTGTATGTAGGAGTGTGTCTGCGTGTGTGTATGTAGGAGTGTGTATGTAGGAGTGTGTCTGCGTGTGTGTATGTAGGAGTGTGTCTGCGTGTGCGTATGTAGGAGTGTGTCTGTAGGAGTGTGTATGTAGGAGTGTGTATGTAGGAGTGTGTCTGTAGGAGTGTGTATGTAGGAGTGTGTATGTAGGAGTGTGTCTGCGTGTGCGTATGTAGGAGTGTGTCTGTAGGAGTGTGTATGTAGGAGTGTGTATGTAGGAGTGTGTATGTAGGAGTGTGTATGTAGGAGTGTGTCTGCGTGTGTGTATGTAGGAGTGTGTCTGCGTGTGTGTATGTAGGAGTGTGTCTGCGTGTGTGTATGTAGGAGTGTGTGTGTATGTAGGAGTGTGTCTGCGTGTGCGTATGTGTGCTGCGGTGGCGCAGTGGTCCGCGCACTGCGCCACGAACCCACCCGAGTTCGATTCCTGCTTGGGGCCAACATCAGGAGCGAATAGCTGGACCTCCAATGAAGATAATATTGAGTTGACGCCTAGGTCGACTCAGCCTTCAATGAGTTCCCGAGACTGTGTGTAAACATCACAACTGCTGGGACAAAGGCGGTTGGGCGTGGTTCTCGCCACGCCAATCCCCTTGTGTGCCGTGTTGGCCTTCGCACCGATGGCACTTGCCCTCCAACAGTCTGTTAAAGACAGAGGGGTGTCTGTGTAATTTTTCTTTCAGTGCTTGATCACCGCACCAGGGTCCTCGCTTAAGGCTGAGTCGACTCGAGTCTGGCCGCCGGGTTCGTAGCGCGTTGCGCTACATGCTACACTACTGCTCGCCGAGCACACACACGTACATACACACAATCGCACACATGTACAAAGGCAAAGATCCCTCGTATAACTTGTAACAGACTTTTGGGGCAAGTGCTGTTAGCGAGGATTAATGAAGGCCGGCATGGCACACCACGCCCGATCGCCTTTGTCTCCCCAGTGGCGATGTTTTTTACACACCGTTCCAGGTACTCATTTAAGGCTGTAGTCGACCTAGGGGAGGCCCAGGACCGATTAAGGTAATCGTTGCTGGTGTTGGCCGTGAGCGGAAATCGAACTCGGTTCGCCGGGTTCGTAGCGCAGTGCGCTGAACGCTACACCACAGCTCCCCGAACACACACAGACACTGACACGCACATACACACATACATAGACACAGTCGCACACATATACATACGCACTGACACACACACGCGCGCACAACCACACGGACGCACACTAATGAGTGCACACGAATTTGAAACTAGGCCGAGCGATTGACGGGCAAAGGCTCCACTAATGCATTTAAACATTTAAACATCAACCCACGAACGCGCAGATCTGTGATCATCCAGCTGGTAACAGCATTAACGTAATATAAATAAGGGAGATTGATTAATTTAACGGCATTGTCTCCCTTTCAATTTACGGTAATCCAACAGATTAAAAACGACGTCTCATCAGTGTGAGTTTATTGAACAAGATAACAATGTTACTGGTTTCGACTGTGCTCAGACTCATCAGCAATGGTTGGAATCTCAGAAAGCCACATGTTATCAGCAGGATCCTTCAAACGGCTTCATCTTCATTGGGTATCAGCAGTAAATCAAGAATCGGGTTCATCTTCACTGGGTATCATCGGCGGTGCAATACCGCATTTTGGAATTTTTTGGCACGATGATAAAAAAGTAGTCAATATTGGGTTTTTTTTACATATTTCAAAAGTCACAGATGGTACAAAGCTCATCATCAACACCATAGGTCCCCGGTTCCTTCCGGTCGGCATGAGCCTTTGCTCGACCCTGCACGACAACAAAACAAATGGTCAAGGGAAGCGCTGCGACGAACCACCGACGGACGGGCGCACGCACGAAGTTATTTCTATACGAGGAGTTGTATTTATTTATTTATTGCATCTGTTAGACGCGAGCGGGTGGGTGGCCAGCACCACACCCGGCCGCCTTTGTCTCCTCCCTCGTGTCGGTTACAGCGCTCGACTCACAAGTCCGTAAGGTCGTGAGAGTTCAAACTTCCGGTCAGTCGCCAGGCCACGTGACTCCGCCTGGTGTCGATTAAACACGTGTACCACTTTGCGCAAAAGTCGACACGCTACTGCAGTTGCCCCTTTAACATTGCATCGCTCTCCAGTCCCCCACACCCCACGCCCTCCCTCCCCCCTGAACGTGGAATTTCCACCACCTTTGTTTCGCGTGAGCTGAAGAATAGCGGGGGGGGGGGGGTCTCTTGGTGACTGAAGCCATTGATTGCCGCGATGTTTATTTATTATAAGCAAATAAATCAACATCGCTAACACCACGCGACTTTTTGGCCAGTTCCACAAACAAAAAACTCACGTAGTAGCAGTAGGCTTTCGCGACCAATATTATCCATTAGAGGTGTTTTTGGATTGGATCGCGTGAATGTAAACGCGTCGTTAAACCCGCCTGGATACCCATTGTTATTATGTTATTATGAATACCCATTGTTATTATGTTATTATGAATACCCATTGTTATTTATGACGACATTAATGCCCCCCCCTCCCTCTGGCCTGAGCACCCGATTGGCTCACAAGTGGCGACATCACATCTATCCCTCGATTTAAGACCGATCCAGGAGGAGGACTTCTCCACAGCTCTGGCTATCGCCTGATGATGCTGGTTGTAATTACCGGCGAAACGTCGTACTCGGATTGTAAACACTGTGGGTTTACTCTCCAACACACTGGTGTGCTGTACAAGTAAAGAATTGCCATGTTTTGTTTACGTGACAAATCTTACTAATGTCGGGTGGTGGCGGGCTTAACAACACATGTATGTTTAGGCGATCTAAGTTCATAGTGCATTGCGCTAACCACTGTACCACCGCTGTAACCGCCGTGGAAAAGGTAACGACATCTAGTTAACTGTGACATACACAGAAAACAAGCTACCGCTTTGAAACGAAAATTATTATCGCGCGGGTAAAATGTTCTGCTTCACTGACCTTCAACAATTGTACGTGAAAAAATCCCCAGTTTACTATGATTGCAGTACAAACAAAACACGGGATGGCCACGATCATGCAAGCCTTCATCCAGCAGTGACTAGAGCTAGCTTGCTGATAACGATTACATTAAATTATCAACGTGACAACTTTTTTTTTATTTAAAGCTTTCGTGACTGCAGGGATTCATATTCTTGGTGCTTTCGGTAAAGTCACCACGTAGAAGGGAAACAACAAAATAATAAAAAATATAAAACAATAAAATTCACACCTGATGATGATTGCTTGTGTTGCAGTCGAAACGTCGTGAGAATTTTATTGTTTTATATTTTTATTATTTTATTGTTTCCCTTCTACGTGGTGACTTTACCGAAAGAACCAAGAATAACGTGACAACTGTTTGGCTCGTATTCAGTAAGCACGCGCCAGACCCCCCCCCCCCCCGCCCCCCCCACCACGTTCCTATTAGTCCCAAAGCGATTCTGGATGGGACCACGTGGTGCAAGGTGGACGAGGAGGGAATGTGACCGGGAGGAGCAATGCAGCAGCGGTACCAAGGGGCCAGCGACCAAGGGGAAGACCTCAAGCCAGATAGATGGCAGCGGCGATGATGATGAGACTGCATGCCAGAGTGGTGGCGGTTGAACGTGGTTGTGAGGAGCGGTAGTTGCAGCGGTTAGCGCTACGTTGCGCCATGAACTCGGCCACCCGAGTTGAAT